CCTGAATGTTAGCTGTGAATCCAACACCACACCCAGGTCTTCCACCTGATTCACGCATTCGAGTGTCGTTCCAAGCAGGTCATAGCTGAATACAATCGGTTGCTTTTTTCGTGAGAACGTTATGGCAGAGCACTTTGCTGGGTTCACTACCATTCGATTTAAAGTACACCAACTGGCGAAGACGTTAAGCTGATGTTGAAGATTGTGGCAGTCAGCGATCGTGCAAATTCGTAAAAATATTTTGAGGTCGTCTGCATATGCTAATCGAGGACCTTCGATAACCAGATTCACGTCGTTGAAGTAGAGGAGAAAAATCAACGGTCCCAGATGGCTTCCCTGCGGTATACCTGATGTGGCAAAGAAGCTAGCTGATTTGCAATCTCCTATAGCAACCATAAGTTGGCGACCAGTAAGATACGAACGGAACCAACTCAAGAGATTACCGCTCACCCCAAGCCTGTCGAGTTTAGCAATCGCAATGTCATGATTCAACTTATCGAATGCCGCGGATAGATCGGTATATATAACGTCCGTCTGTACCCGTTCAGTCATACTATCGGTAATGTAGGATGTGAGGCATAGCAGATTGGTGGTTGTAGAGTCAGATACTGCTTGCTGTGAGAGAGCAACGGTTCCATAATAACAAGCTCGAATAGTTTCGAAACAGTACTCAGCGATGTAATTCCACGCTAGTTATCCACGGCTCGTTTGCTTCCCTTTTTGTGGACAGGAATCATGTGTGCAAATTTCCAGGAGGATGGAAATATACCACTGGAGAGGGACATACGGAATAGACGGTGAAGTGGAGTCAACAAGCAAGCAATATGTTTCTTCAAAAACACGGACGGAACTCCATCGGGTCCAGGGTTGAAGGACGATTTGAGCTGCGTTGCAGCGTTAGAAATCATCTCAACGTTGATATCAATTGCACCCAGCGTTTGACCATTTAGTGGGATGTTCCTGGCTGCGAGGGAAACATGGTCGTCAGTTAGTCTCTCATCAGTGAACACACTGGCAAAATTGACAGAAAAAAAGGTGGCAAATATCCTGCGGAGTGGAAGCGACTTCACTGTTCAATTCCATTGACGATGGGAGGTCAGATTCTCTGCGTTGCTCGTTCACGTAGTTCCAGAAGGATTTCGGGTGTAGTTTAAGGTTAAGCTGAATACCTCGTTGAAATCGCAGAAAGCATCGACGACTGGCTCGCTGATACTCGTGATTAAGCCTCACGTAGTGATGTTTCAGAGGAAGCGTGCGATACTTCGTAAATCTTCTCAATGCTGCTCTCTTGGTCGACTTCAACCTACGCAGCTCAATCGTCTGCCAGGGAAGGTGAAAGTCTTAGCGGTGAATTGTTTGCGGGACGTGTCTGTCAATGACATAATTATTTTCATCTTCACATTGAGCCACTAATAAGCGTGAAGCTTGATAAAATCACCAAATTTAGATGTTTATGAGCTGAACAAAGGCTTTTATTTCTAAAGTACAACATTTGTTCAGACTAAGGTTGGATTAAAATGGCTGCAAGAACGTTTAAACAGCAGGAAATTGTTACCTGGGAAGCCAAGACATGAGAAAAAGTTCGTGATCGAGAATGTTCTCCCAGTCCATGTTTGACAAGACATCTACAATGCTTCGATGGTCGGCCTTTCGAAAGTCATAAGAAACCGCAGCAGGAAGACTATCGAAATCACGATGAGGGTGGTGCGAAACAAGCTTAACTAGTGGACAAGGTGCTGTGGAAATGAACGGAGCATTGTCCTGAGTGCTCACGAAGCAGAGGTCCAAACTACGGTTGTTCTCGTTGACTACGTGGTTAATTTGAGAAAGCGTTGCTACGCTATAGTTATCGAGACGGCCGATAGCTCCTGCATGAAATACAGAACGTTCTGGATCTTAATAGAGGAAGCCGCTATGGGATGGTCTCCACGAAACGCCTGCTAGGTTGAAGTCCCCAAAAATGAATAGCTCATCAATTGGAGTCGCTCTTTCCATTACTGTGAAGACTGAATGACAGTGAGTTTCGATGAGTTCAAGATCACGAACTCGATCTGGAGGCATGTACAATGCACACACAAATAATGTGCGATCGCCCAGTTTCATTTTCGATTGAACTCGCCTCCAATCGGGAACGGACAGCCACAAGAACGCCACCACCAGTAGATTTTCGGCTGTTGTTTGGATTCCGATCGCAACGAAAAACCTCATAATCGGATCCGAACACCTGGCTGGAAAGCGTTCGCAAATCGAGCCACGTCTCGCATAGGACAATCACGATGTCCTGCTTGCGGCTTACAATCGAACGTCTGTTCTCCCTGGAAATCACGGAAGCATCAGGCAGCGAATGAACATTAACAATACCATGCAGATACTCGCCATAGTGACTGGGTTGGAAGACCCCCTCTCCACATCCGACTACAGGTCCGGAACGACTATGGTGAGCGGCGGCAGCAAATGGCTGGACTGAGACGGAAGGATTGGGGGCTTCCACGCGTTCCGGGCTCCGAGGTACGAGAGATGATTCGGCGTGTGTTAGCAGATATGCAAAATTTTCGAGGGACAATCCATTCGTCCCACATAAATTAGAGATTTTTTGCTTTTTTTCCAAACGTACTGGAAAAAATCTTACCTTAATTCGAAGTGTTTCTGGTTAACTGACAAGATGAATACCACATCATTGCGAGAATTTGTATGTACCACTTCAATACTGTTATGCATTTGACCACAAACGTTTGGTTGCTGGGTACATTATCAAAGAGCTTTGGGGGAGACGTGGCTGGCAACAAGGCGAGCGAACGTTCAATGAAAATAAAATCATAAACAACAATAATTTATGATAGTCCTGAAAAGAACCATTTTGTCGTGATAGTTGAGTAAAGCCATAGAAGGTCCCGAAGAAACGTACTCAACTTTTTTGCTCAGCTCTGGTACTATCTTCGGTCCCAAGCTAATCGATGCACCGCTCGAAACATAGGAGAATCCACAAACCCCTCATTTTATCTGTCAAACTTTCATAGCGAATCAAAACAAACATAGTGTAGTACTAGAATTTCAACTAAAATGGGGTACGTTAATCGATTTGCTTGGGACCAATAGGCTAGTCAAGTAGTGAGAAAAATTTTAAAACGTTAGTTTCCACCGGTTGGTAAAGCTGAGCTATTTGGGTGTTCAACACGGATGAGGCCTTGCGAGCTGTGTGTTGTTTGGGACGAGGGTGACGCGCTTGGCATAGATGGCCCACAGCGACTCATGAAGAGCTACTGAATCCGATCAGTAGCGGTGCGGCTGCTTTGGTGAATGGACGCTCATGTGGGCTGCAGCTCGCTGCTTGCGGACAGCTTTTCGTTGTACACTGGAGAACAATGTTCCAATCGATTAGCTTGCTTAGAATTAAAATCCATCCGCTATTGACAGAGTTATAAGTTGTCAAAACCTGACCACTTTTCGTAACGCGGTTGATTATGATTTTTTGAATGTGCACCCCAATATGTTGCCGAGAGACGTAATCCTACGTGAAAAATCTGCATAAAAGTAATGAAAATTATTTAAAAAAAAAGTCTAAAATGTTTACTAAAAGATGGTGCTCTACGATTTTGGTCAATTATAAAGTGTCTATTGTGTCCAATACTAGAAAAAGTTAGCACATGTTCTAAAATTTCAAACAAAATTTTTAAAAATCTTATTAACGTTTTTTTTTAGTTTTCAACAGATTTTTTATATTTGTGACGAATTATAGCCTTCGGCTAAAAATCACTTATATAATGTAAAAAAAATTGTAAATTTTTCTGAAAAGCCAATCCAGTCTCCTACAACTTAGTCTCAGATAACATTTTGATTATTGAGCCGTTTTCGTGCTATGATTTATTGAAAAATATCTATTACGCGATTGTGGATAATTAAGCAATTGTCAAAATGACCGAATTCAAGCACAAACTTGGTTAATTTCCCCTATTGAACAATTATGTGAAGTTTCATGGAACTCGAAGAGGGTGAAACAGTTCGATTCGTCAGTTGGCGTGGATTTGCTCGTCTGTACCAACAGGTCACACGTATCATCAACCTGTACCTTTATCGAACATATAATTAGATATGATCAAATCAATTGAATTCACAAGACCTTCTCTAAACACTGTAAGCGATAAAAAAGTTCATTTTCATCTAATTATATTGAACTAAAAAAAACTATTACATAAACCACTCACCAAAACTTCCGTGTGATGACAAAATTACGCAAATGCCACCATGGTCAATTTTTACTTTTCACCATTTTTAAGTTTTGCGTCAATAATGACACCGAAAAACACTCAACACTTGTACAAAATTTGGATTCAAGCATGCAGTAAAAACGTCATACTTTTTCGGAGAATCAGTGAAACATTTTCACTGTTTCCACACATAAGTTACTTTCACATACTATGCGTAAGCGCTGAAACATCGCATCCTATTTTAAACATCGTGGTTCATATTTTTAGCTTTGTCTAGATCATACGAAACAGATTCAGTAAGGGCCCATGCATTAATTATGTCACGCTAAATCGAGCAAAAAATTACCCCCCCCCCCTATCGTGACGTTTCTATACCTAATGCATTGCTTGCCACAATCACGATATTAAACAGAACAAACTGTTTTCTGACCGATTCACAAAATGAATTTACGTCACATTGTCATCTCACGGTAGAAAAGCTTCTCATCACATGTTTTTTTTTTTCAAGTGGTATGTCATCGATCATCAAACACAGATTGTTCCGAAGTTGTCATTAACGGTAATTACCTTTATTCTCATCGCTACCCACTAAACATTGAGCACTACACCCAAATCAAACGACAAGCAGCATTTTCCAAAACAACACATTCTTATCTTATACGCGATTTTCATTCCTCCGTCGCATATTTCTCTTACAAACCCGTAATGGAAACTAACATTTCCCGGTATAGTATAGGTTACAACCTACAATTAGCTCCAGCACCAGATGACACCCACCAGCGGCGCCTCAATTCAACTCACTATCTTCTCCACTTGCAACCACAGTCCACCTTCGGACGAGAGAACCGGGCTTCGGGGGGAGATTTTCACCGGCACCGGCGTCTTGCTGGACAATGTAAAGCGGTAGTCCTTCAGCAGATACGCCAACCCAACCCGAGCCTGCATCATTCCGAAGCGCAAACCGATGCAATTACGGGGACCTTCACCGAACGGTATGAAGCAGTACGGGTTCCGTTTGGCCATCTGGTCCGGTGTGAAACGATCCGGATCGTACCGTTCCGGATCGGAGTAGTATTCCGGATCGTGGTGAAGGGCGTAAACGGGGATGATTAGAGTGGTTCCTTGCGGCAGGATGACGCTGCTGTTGGGAAGTTTGTAGTCCTTGGATACGGAACGAGTCAGGCTGGATACCACGGGGTATTTGCGAAGGGATTCTGAAAGCGAAAAGGGTTCAATTGAGGTATTAATTGCAATGAATTTCTCTTACCGTTGATGCACTGGTCGATGTAGTGCAAATCCTGCATTGCTTCGTAGGTCAAGGAGCCATGCTTCTTGATTGAGTCTAAGACATTTTTGCGTGCCTTGTCTTGAAGTTCAGCACTCTGTGCTAGCTCGTACAAACAATACGACATCGTGGTGGAAGACGTTTCGAAACCAGCCAAGAAAAACACGAACGCCTGGGCAGCAATTTGCTCGATTGTTAAAGCCTCCATTCCATTTGCAGTTTCGTCATTCTTTAGCTTCATCAGCAAACTCATAAAGTCGTTGCGTTCAATTTTGTTCTCCTCCCGAAATTTGACAGTGTCTTTCACTGCGTTCATGAAAAACTCCGAAACTTCCGTATCAACAAGAGAGATGCGAAGCGTGCGGGCCAAGGAACGGAACTGCTGCGCTAGCACGGCTTTTATAAACCTTCCGTTGGCAAACGAGAATATCTTCTTGCCCATTCGTCTGAACTGAGCGTCCGGATCGTGCAAACTGTTGCACTCCAACCCAAATGCGCAGCTACCAATCACATCGGTTGTGAATCGTGCAAGAATCTCCTTCATCTCGATTTCACCGTTGGTTGCAACTTCCTTACTCATGAGCTTTTGGAACTCGTCAGCCACTCCAATGATGGTCGGGAACATCATTTTCATCTTCCCCGAAGTGAACGTCGGAGTCAACTTGGCCCGCAGATTCTTCCACTTGGTACCCTCCATCGTGAAGAGATGTGCCGAAAGGGGATCGTCTTTTTCGTTGTAGTAAACCGATCGGTCGTGGAAGTACTGGAAATCTTTCACCAAAGCAGTCTTGATGAACTCCAAATCCAATGCTATGGCTACCGGGTTGATAAAGAAAAAGATACCACCGACTGGCCCTTGTCCCTTAAGTTCCTGGTAGCAGCTTTGCATTTGGGCCGAAAGATGCTTCGTACGTCCCATTCCACGGATGTTACCCGCCGGGAAGCTTGGTTCCACGTACGGAATTCCTCGATCTTTCCAGTAGGAATACCGCTTGCGCACCCAGACCACCGCCAAGGTCATCGCCAATGCGATTAGATAGAACCACATTTTGATTACACCTGGTTGCTTGTTTACCGGAATTTCAATTTGAACTAATGGCTCTCTCAGGTGAACAAGTGAATATATTGCGCCATCCGTAGAGCTATTACCCTCGCATACCTCTATGATGTCAGTCTGGGTAAGCGTAATTTCGTCATAAAATGATTCCGCGACATTTGGAGATGTACCAAAAGCATTGAGGCGTCCACGCACACACACCCCTTTCGTTAAACTCTTGACGGTGTGGCTGAAAAACATAAGAATGATAACAGAAGTATGCCTCCTCAAACTCCGATAGTGGATAATGGTGGTTTACGTTTGCATTCAAAATCGGGTTAAAACCGGCTGAGGTAGGTACTACCAATCAAGGAAAATAATTGCGCCCGTTGAATGAATCAATCCAGGGTGATTTAATGTATAGACTGAAATTTTGCAAATCATTCGACAGGCGAAGCTCGTTATCGTATCGCTGCGATATGAACGAGATCAACTGATGTCTGCAGAGGCCGGACATTTCCTCAGGCGGTTGAAATTGGTGAGAATTCAAAACTTAAATTAAGACGCCATGTGTCAGCTTTTGATCAGGGAATGGGATCTGGGATCTGGGATCATAGAAATGGTGAAGGGCCGAATACCGTGCGGAATAAGTAGTATGAATAACGGCGCCGGTGGTGTAGTGGTAAGCGTGACAGACAGACAGACAGACAGACAGACAGACAGACAGACAGACAGACAGACAGACAGACAGACAGACAGACAGACAGACAGACAGACAGACAGACAGACAGACAGACAGACAGACAGACAGACAGACAGACAGACAGACAGACAGACAGACAGACAGACAGACAGACAGACAGACAGACAGACAGACAGACAGACAGACAGACAGACAGACAGACAGACAGACAGACAGACAGACAGACAGACAGACAGACAGACAGACAGACAGACAGACAGACAGACAGACA